CCCTCCCCCCAGTGCCACCCGCCCCGGGCCGCTGCCTCTCGTCGTCTCCTTCTGGGCTGCAGCTTGGCTTATTAGCTGGGGGGGTGGGAAGGCCAAGTGTCGGATAGCGTCCTTTGGGCTGGGGGAAGGGACTTCTGTATCGGGGGGACCTTTTAGAGGGCTGCGAGGGCACTGATTCAAAGACGAGCTTTCCTTGGCTCCTCTTCCTGAGGGTTAGTGAGGCTCAGCCTTCCCAGGGGCGGGCTTAGGAAGAAGGAAGTGCTTGTGGACATGATCCAGAGGAATCAAGGTGATGGCCAGGTATTTCTCAGGACTGTTTCAACCTGACCAGTCTGGTTGCACACACTAAAGCCCACAAGCCTGTGGCAGGTCCTGAAAAGGTTCAGAACTGCTGTTCAGAAGATTAGAAGGGGTTCTCTGCTCGTGCAGTGAGAAAGCTTATCTACACTTGCTGAATACAGAATATGTCAGGGGTTTTGACTGTTGAGGCTACGGAGAATAAAATGTTTGTCATTGTTTATGGGTAATGAATTGCTGTAGCAGGGTGTGATCTATGTTGAGTTTGTACTTCTGTGCAGTAAAGCTACCTTGCTTAAAAGGAGAAGGCTTATTTATTCCAGAGTATCAACCAGTCTATAAATATTCTGGCTTTGTTTTATTTTATTTAAATATTTATACTTTTGCTTCTTTCTTCCCCAAAATGTTTTTGTGTTGTCTAGAATGACAAAAGTGGATATCAAGAATTACCTTGAAAAAATATACAATGTGCCAGTAGCTGCTGTGAGGACCAGGATACAGTATGGTAAGTGCGGTTGAGTAATCCAAAGGGATGAATACAGCATCCCTGCGCAGCCAGAATAGACTTTCTTACTAAAAGGTCCGTTAGATTTCAGCAAATTTTGGTTCCAGGTGCTTAGCTGGTGAAGTCTGTCAGCTTAGATGTTTTATTTGTCCCTTCAAATGAATATGCACCAATTCATATTTCAATGTTTTGATTAGATTATGGCATAATTTTAGTTTTAAAAGGAAAAATCTGAATTTAAAAAGCCTTATCATATTGACTGTTGTCTAGCTTGTGCTGTATGCTTTTGTAGTGGTACTGTTTCTCTTTGAAGACGAGTAGGTGTCTCACTTCAAAAAGGAATTTTTTCATGTATTTTAATAAGATTAGTAATTGAACTTAATTGCAGCCATAGCCTTTTTTAAAAAAAATGTGTGAGTTGAGATTACCTGACATGCACACAGAGGAGGTGTTATGGTCTAACAAAAGGCATAGTTTGTAGAGCAAAGAAAAGTATTCTATTAGGCTAGTAGATAACGTCAGAAAAACATCTTGACAAACTTTCAGTTTTTCATCACCTGTCATTACCACATTTCTGCTACAGACTTGTATGCTTCTATTCATGCTGTTTCTCCCCTGTGCCACCCCTACAACAAAAAAACAACATAAAACAAACCCAAGAGAAAAGGAAAAAAAGTTCCTAGTTTAAATTATGCTGAAACTCTGACTTGGAGCAGAGGGATGCATCTCTAACTGTAATAAGCTAAATTTTTGTAACATCACCTTTACATATGAGTCCTTTCTTCCCCAGAGCTTCTCTGACTGCATTTTGGATGCAGTGCAAAGCTAGGAATATAATTTTCACATTATTTACTTGTTTGATCACCAGTCATTGCATTAATCAAATGGAGAGTGACTTGTTGGTTAGGATGTCTTTGGTGGCTGGGTTTTTCTTTTTTCATGCAGTGACGAGCAAAGAAATTGATTGATGTGTTTATAATGGTAAGAGCTGGGATGACTTTAAAAAAGGTGTAGGAAAAAAGAGCTGTAATAGTGAAAAATGGATAAAGAAAGCAAAAGCTTCAAAATAAGGTTGTAAAACTCAAAACACAGAAGAAAAAGAAAACAGAAAGGTCATCTGTAATATGCTTATGTGAAAAGCAGAATTAAATGAAGCCTTGGATACCAAACGCATGCATGTCCTTATAACTATTTTGTTCCCCACTGCTAGTGGAAGTGATGGTGAAATGTATATATTCAGGGATAAAAGAGGAAAGGGGGTTAGAATGTCTAATGATTTGAGAGTGTTAATGTCTGCCTAACATGCAGGGGATAAATTGAACTTCCCACTCAGTTGTGACCAGCATACTCGCAGAAGGTTGAGGTGCTTTAGTTTTTTTGGATATGGAGTGTAATTTCCTGATCTATAGATCCAGCTCATTAGCTGGGTAGTAAGAACTGACAAGTTTGAAGCTGTTTAGTGGTCATTTCCTCCTTGTCTTCCTAGACCTGTTGATGTTGGGAGGACAGTTTTATCACTCCTGACCCCCTACTTGGGAGACACATCTCCTTGCTTTTTTGCAAACTTTGTGTGTGATGTGAAGGTGCAATGGCTGTCAGCAGCCTGAGTCTGATGATGCCTCGATTCCCTGCTTGTAAACGAGGAGAATAGTGTCTACCAATTTTCAGTACGTCTTAGTAATTGTGATGCTCTGCTGGTACTGAAGAAAGAGTATTCGTCTTAAAAATAAATCGGTACTAGTGAAGGTCTTGCTCTGGGGAACTTGGAAATCCTGGGAGGTAAAAGGTGGGACTCTCTTCATTTCTGCAGGTGCAAACAACAGGAGGAATCATAAGAATCAGAGAGTGAAGAAGCCAGACTACAAGGTTGCCTATGTGCAGCTGGTGAGTTAACGTGGGTACTTGTCGGGAAAGAGGAAAGGACTGTTAACCAGCCAAGCTAGAAGTAATGTTCAGTGAATTGTCCAGTTGGCTGAATATTTCTGCCAATCCTCTAGTAATGACATTTTCAGTAATACATTCCAGAATGTATGAAGAGGTGTAAATGACTTAGTCTAAAAATCAAATCAAATGCAAACAAATGGTTAGTTTTGAAGTTGCATATTTGTTTGAGGTCTGTATGTAAGTTATGGTCTGATGTCATATGGTGCTGCTTTGCCAGTGAGTTTCATGCTGACCCTGTACTCTGTGTGCTGGAAGGTTCATGGCTTGTGTGGTTGATGACTGAGATGTCCAGTAAGTGAAAGAATATATTGTAAGGGTAGAGAACTTCTTATTAAAGCTTTTTGGAGTTCAGAGAAGACTAAGGCATATTCCTTGGAGAGCTTCTAGTCATGTTTAACAAGCGTGCTTTGTGGTTAAACTAAGTTCTGAAACGTATGTTGGTTGCCCAGTGGAAAAGAAGCTTCATGTTCTTATGGGTTTCTTTCATAACAGGAGCATATTGTAGTTTAGAATTCTCTTGGGCTTACCTGTCTCAGTGTAAAAAAGAAATGAAATCAGGGACAGAAAACTCCTTCACGTACCAAAATTACGTTAAAGGAATGCTATTTATGGTTGTAAAACCGTAAGCTCAAAATTGCTGTTGGCAACACAACTTTAGTGTTACTCCATCCTGGGACAGGGATGCTGTGGGGGGGGGGAACACTGTGTGATCTTAAAGACTGCATAAGACTTCATGTGGACTTTGGGTCAAACCAAAGAGGCACAGGCAGTGGGAAATCTGATGTTTTTTTAATTTTTCAAAGTTTAAATGTGCTTAGATGTTTTTTTCTAAGCCCCTTCTGGGAAAGGGAGTGGAAAGAAAAGTCAGTGTGTTTTTCTAGACAGCCCTTACCTTTAAAAGAACAGTATAAAGTACAGTGTTAGTAGAAAGTAGCAGAGTTGTATTTAGATGAGGACTAACCTTGATTTACTGTGCTGAAGTTAAAGGCAACCTCATCTCCATGAGGATTTTGCATTATGATGGCTAAAAAACACATCCCTTTTTCAAGGAAGAGTCTCTGCTTTGGTGGGCACATTCTCCCTCCTGGATTGTCTATGCTAGGTTTTTGTCTGTGAGAGATCAGGTGTAAATGATTCGTTAAGAAGACAGCTGAGGAATTGAATGCCGGGAGCGAAGTCCTATCTTACAGGTTGCTCTGTGAGTGTTATTCCTTGGCAGGTAATTGCAGGCACTTTTCATTGTCACGGCCTCTTGCCAGTGACTTCTTTGCTTTTAGAAACTCATTTCCCAAGATGGAAGCAGACATGGATCTTGAGCAAGCCGTGGTCAGTTCTCAGTTTTTGTTTCACTGTGTTTTATGTAGTCTAGTTTCTTTTGTCTGCTGAGTTGAGAAGGTGGTAGTCTGCAACCCATAGAAACTCGGGGGAAGGAGTGGGAAGCAAAATGCTGCTGCTCGGTGGAGCAAGCCACTGATTTAAGGCAGTATGTTTGTGCATTTATTTCACATCAGACCTCTGAACCTAGAATAGTTGCCATTGCCTTAAGGGTAGCTCTGCAGTGGAGTGGAGAATTACCCAAACTAGCTTGGCACTAGAGGCAGTTGCACAGCAGTAACTGGTCGTTGCTCCAGCCTCTCATTATGTCTGCTGGGCAAATGAGCCTGCGCAGAGCCCTGTGGTACTGTGGCTGAGGACTGCGCTTGGTACATTAGACAGCAAGTGACCCTTACTGCGCTGCTGTATACTATGTCGTAAGTTTTTGAAGAATGCCATGTTTTCTGTCTGACCTGTGAACGGGATGGGGGACCACCTTTTGGTGCTGTATTTCATCTCACCTGAGGGAATCCTGACTATTTACTAAACTGTTATCGGTGAGACCTGGTCTGTGCGTTTTCCCCTCACCTCACTTCTGGTCTCTTTGCTCTCTTTTTTTCTGTTGTTGGTATCTGTTAATTCCTTTAACATGTAGGTTTGTCTGTCCTTTTTGTTTTTTTCCCCCTCTTTGCTTTTCATTACTAGCTCTGATGTCTCACAGTGAGCTCCCAGTTCTGTGTTCGCACCAGCTTTAAACAGTGGGTGAGGCCAGAAACCCAATGTCATTTCTTGATACTGAAGGCTTTGCCTTCATTCTAATTCATGGTGTGATTTAGGCCGTAACAGGCCCCATGCAGTCCATTGTTAATATCTGCCTAATTTAGGAAAGTCTTTGGTAACCACTGTAAAGTCCTTATTTTCATGAGAATTAGTTTGCATCTGCCGTGAGTCAGAGTAGCTGGGCTTTCCCAGCATTTTTACCAGCTGTGTTTTCTCTCATTAATCCAGTTTCAAGTTAAAACTGCTTGTGACTGGAAAAATAGGATGGGGTTTTGGAAGATCTTGGGTTGATCTTTCTGTTTCCCACTAGGTGGAAGTATTGCTCTTCCCAGCATGACTTGGTAGCCACTGTGCTGTGGTTTACCTGAATGAAATTGAGTATATTCTCATGATCAGTTACGCTTCCCTGCTTCACAAAACATCACCTTATGTGTCCCAGCGCAACATACATATCCATTGCAGTAAGCGAGTGTCTCAAAGGTGGAAGGTATATCAAGCCATAGTCAAAATACCCTTAGGTGTCAGATCAGTGCCCCAGCTGTTCCACATGTAAGAATTGTTGCCCTTTCTTTTCCAAATACTATTTCTTGGAGATTCAGAGCTGTTTACTTTATTCTCAGGCTGTAACTGGACAAATACATGATCTGTCCAAGCATAATATTTTCACACTAAAAAAATACCTCAAATCATAGAAGGCTGTGGATCAACAATATCTTGCCATTCCAGAGCCTGCCTGCCTTTTTTCCTCTTTTGGAATGTGGTGAGAAAGGTTTAAGTAAGAAACTTATGGCCCTGGGTATCAAATGCTACTTTTTTGTTACACTTTTTTTTTTTTAAATTAAAACAAAAGATATATATCTTTGCAGAGTAGATAAAATGAATGTAACACAGCACCCTTTCTCCTTGCTTCAGTACAGTTATAATTAACCCAATATTATTACCAAAAAAAAAAAAAAAAGGGAAAGAAGAAATGAAAGCCAGTGGGAAACTAAACTTTACAGTTGCATAAACATCAGGGAAATTAAAAAAAACAACAACATCCCCTCCTCCTCCTTCAGTGTTCTCACTGGTTTAGCTCAACAGGTGTTAGCACCCGTGGGAGCACAGCTGTAGACAAGCCTCTGAAATCCAGACCTATTTTTAATTAAACCTGTTTTGAGAAATCTAATGGAGATGGCTGTAAAAAGGAGTCTGACCTTGTCAACATTAGGACTAACACCTATTTAGCTGCATGAATGATGGCACCGGTGGGAACATTTTTGAAAATGCTTTCTCCTCAAACCCTGTTTAGAGTGTCTGGTGCATTCATAGTAATTAACCTGTTTGCACATCACATATGACAGCAGTTTTCTTTTGACATGTGGTGAATTCAGAGCAAACTTGCACGCTCCGTACGCTATGTCATTCCTCTGTGGATTTTTGAAGTTGCTTTCTGTGCTGTTTTACCATATGTTTTAACAGCAGATGTTACCATTGCAATAGTAGGAGAATTGTTCAAATGCACTGGATTATTAAACTTAGCTGCATTTGCTGCTGCTGCTGGACCAAGTCCCGTGCTGTTGGGAATCCAACATTTTTTTAGTTAACGATACTATAAACATCACTTTTCTTCTAATTCTGAAGGACAGTAGTAAGTGCTTCAATTATCTAAATAATCAGAAGATCTCACAGTTTTTTACATGATCAGTGTTTGCTGCGTCATTCCTACACAATAGTATCTGTGCTGAGCTTCCACTCCTAAACTTTTCAAGGGACAAAAAGGTCAGAGATGTAGAAGTGGGTTTGTGATGGATAATCCTTCCAGCAGTGTTCTGACATGAGGCTCAGCAGTGGAAAAGCTAACACTTGACTTTGTAGGCCTAATTATGGTCACTTAACCTCTCATTAAAATGAATGGAGGCAATTTGTACCACTGGATGTGATAACTCCTTCTACAGACTCAGAGAACAAGGTGTGTTTTCACTCTTTCTAATAACAAAGGCTTGAAATCTAAGCAGAAAATACGTTTGATGCTTAGGTCACTTTTCGGCTTGAAGGACGTTAGCATTTAACAGATGAATCCTCATAAGGCCTTGTATGTAAATCAGTTTTACATGTGGGTAATGCTGAAGCAAAGATTAGTGTTGTGCAAGAATAGAAGTTTAATGGCTACCATTTCTGTTATCTAAGCACTGAACCACACATCTCACTTGAACGTAACCTTAGAATTTGTAGAAAAAAGGGAGGTGTCTGGTAAAACCCTAAACTGAGAATAGCAATGCAGGAAATCATCACATTGCCTTTATTTTTCAGGTGTTTTCAGTACCGCCTCTCTGACTTGCTTTGGTTTTTTTCTTCTTTTTTTTAACATTGAAAGGGCTCCCTTAGAGATGAGAGCATGTGATGGTACAGCTTATCCTGACAAATTCCAGAGTATCTGTATCACCTCACATTGGTAAAAAGGTTCTTCTGCTGGCAGTGCAGCATCCAGTTCCATGACAGACTTAAGTTATCCAAGCAAAACTATTTTTTTTGCCCGTGTCTGTCTTTTTTACAGGATTTTCTTTTAGCACAGCTGTGTCGGGTAGGAGGGTGTTCTTTTCTGCCACTTTCTCTGTGCTGCTAAGTAAGGTAATTACGCTGGCAGAAGTTCTGAAGAAGGACCAAGCCCGAGCCTTTTTAGAGCTTATTTCAGTTCATGTGAATTGGTAAAACAGTTAACATATGCAAGGTTTACAAATAAGCCAAAGTTTTGCTTTCTGGCTGAATATGCCAGCATTTCATGTTCTAGCAGTTGCAAACCAGATGAACTTGGTAGAAATTTAGTTTGCTTTATTTCAGTTAGGATTTCATTCTGAGGAAGCATTTATCATATAGTTGTCAAATTGTTGCTGTAGAGAAGAGAAAACTTTTACAAAGGAGACGTGCAAGAAAAAGCAGCTCTGTGTAAGGGAGTGATGATCCCTTCATTCCTTTGGTAGACTTTTTTTGAGAAGGTGGCATATGAGCTTGAACCTCAGTTAGCCTCTGGCATCGTGCGGAAGATGCACTGAATGTAAATATGACTGGACAGACTCACAATCCTTTATGTAAGTTGATGCCTTTTGGAATTTTTGAAATTTTGAAATACCCAAGATACAGGCTTCTTCTGAAAACTAGCTACTGAGCATGCACAACAGCTATTTTTCATACAGCTTTCATCACTCCAGAGTTTTACAGTGCAGTATTACTGCATAGTATTGTTACTTAAGATTTATCAACCTTCAGTTCTCAGGGTGTAATGTCTTGGCTGTTTCGAATCGTGTCTGGCTGCCAGCCAAAATCAGAATTTCTTCACAAAACAAGAGCTGGAAAGAGCCAGCTTGTCTGTGCTGATTTTGATTTATTAAAAGACTCCAGATACAGATTGACATTTTCAGCTCCATATTTGACTTTTGCCTGCCTTGAAATGGGAACTGTGAGCACTTTGATAAACAGCTGAAAGGATTGTCTGGTTTTGCTACAGCCTCTGTGCATATCTTTTTTTTTCTGGGTTTTTTTTCCCCTCTTTTAAAAATAATAACTGTTTTGCAATGCTTAGTGAATTGCCATGGATGTTGTTAGTATGCTTTAGGGGCAGCTTTCCTTCATTCTCCAGTGAGAGAAGTGTATTGGTGCTGAAAGCATACCAGAATGGAAGTGCTGCATAACAAGAACAGTCCCTTACTACTGTTACCAATATAAATAGTTCTCAAATTTTCAGTGTAGGTGGTATGCCTACCATGTTAGCCTGAATTGTTTTCTGACTTGTTTAACTAAAATGGCTTCTTCTCTGGGGCACACGACTTCTCAGAATCGGCTGTGTCTGTTCTATAGGTACCACGGGGCTGAGCGACCTGCCCGCAGTGCAGTTAAAATGCAGTGATTTTTTGTAATGTAAACAAATTCTTTTCCAGATGCTTCACTGTGCTAAAATCTTGGGCAGGGCTTGGCCTCGAGGATGCTTGCTGCTAATCCTACTATAGGAAGAGTTTCAGTAGGCTACAGCTTTGGGATCGCTCAAGGGCATTGATAAGGCCAATTTCTGTGCCTTGAAATGGAGCTGTGATTTAACTGTCATAGGACAGCTATTATAAGCATAGCTATTGGTAATTTAAAGGTACAAAAGAGTTGAAACCCCAGAGTGTACACTGTGGAAAGGAAAACCTTGGTTTGTTTCAGTTGATCTTATCCAGGCTGGAATCAAGGAAAGAGCAATGTATACAGCAGCTCCCTTGTTGTTTTTGTAGTATAGTCAAGCTTTTAGGAAACCCCCAAGAAGTGTGCACTACAGAAACAACCAGAGCATTGCTGTGTATGAGTTGATATTTCCTAGATTCTAGTCTGGATAAGCTCAACTGGGATAAGTCATGTTTTTTCTTTCCAAAGGGTATGTTTGAGGTTTAAATTCTTTCACACCTGTAAATTACCAGGTTGAGTGTATAAGGCCGAATGAAACATAGCACACATTCAGCTGGGTCAGGGACATGGTGACAGGTTTTTTTTGTATTTAATCATGTCACATTTCTGATCCCAAAACGTAGTATAGGTAGCCGTGTTGTGGAAGGCTCCTTTCGTGTCCTTTGTGGAGCAATTTCATAACTGGGCCTCTTATGTGATTGTATTTATTGCACAAATGTAAAGAATGGCTGATCTGGAAAAAAACCCCTGTTTTCATCTGAAGCAATTAAATACTTTTGTAAGAGATTTCTGTATGTGGTATTCTGCCAAAGAAGTTAATGTATCGTAATGTTTGTAAGTATTTTAGAGAGTAATTTTAGAGTTACAAGCTATCAGTTATGAGTTTTATTATGCAAAGTCCCATACAGAATGGAAGGGCTGATACTGTTGAATTTAATGAAGTTGTGCTTAGTGCAAACACCAGTAAAAAGTAAGTAGGTGATGTTAATAGGATAGAACATTTCCGCAGAATAATGGTTTCCTGCTGTTAGGTAAAAAACAGAGAGCAAGCAAATGTTTATTTTCCAAGTGGGAGACGTAGATCTGATGATGATGTTTCCCTAAAATGACTTGTCTGTTAGGTGGAATGACTGATACAGGTGTAATCACTTTGATCTCATTAGTGATGTATTAGATTGTTCCCACTGTAATTGTTTTACACTGTAGTGTTTATTCCTGTTGATATCTGTTATTCTGTATTCCCACATTACACCCTACAATAACAGCGGTTAGGACTGTTATCTCTTATCCTTAGCTGAGATTTAAACAACTATAACCACTACTCGTATCCTGAGTGTTAACATAATCAATGCCTGCTCCACCATGTATTTCCCTGGTGGTATTACTTTAATAAAATCACTTATTTTGCTCATTGTGCTTTTACTGTATGACTCGTACAACATCTCTGAGGTGGTTTGAAGTCTTTGAAGAGGTGTCCATCTCCTGACTATTCAGCTGGGGGGAAAAAAAAAAAGTCGGTGTCTTAATTAGCACACAAAAGAGGAGAGGCTGAAAGTTAGCTTTTTTTTGAGGGGTGGCATATATGTGTATCTTGGGTAGAAGGGTGGAAAGAGATCTTGGAAGGTTAAGAGGAACCATTTTGCACTAGCTGAAACTTCAGGGTGGTCTTTCATTGTAAGTGTATGCATCATAGCTACTGCAGAAAGTCTGAAATGTTTCTCTGACCATTTGTTTTCTCTTTAGGGCCAAGGACAAACCTTTCAGTTTCCCAACCTATTTCCAGAGAAAGAACAAGACACAGAAACTCGCTTTTTTGATGACTTCAGGGATAAATTTATGGAGAGAGAGAAGCAGAGGCAGAAAGGTGATCCCAGACGAGGTGGAGTCCCCGACTGGTTTGGACTTTGACGCAGCAAGCCAGCTGCCTGCCTTTCATGTCAGAGGGATTTTGATCAGCAGAACTTGCACTCTTCCCTGCTTGTAATGACCGAATGTTTTGTTCTTGAGCAGCCCTTGCCAGTGTGTCTTTTTTCCTGGCTGTTTGTGCACAACTACAACAAAACGGCCCTAAAGAAATAAAAAGGTAAAAAATCTGACTGCGTCAGGTCTTTCCTATGAACTTGTGAACGATTTCTAAAATGTGAAATTGCTTGTTGTAGTTTCTGACTATGACAGTGTAATTGTGCTTACCTTCTTCCTGCTTCTACGGATTGTTCTGAGTAGCAGTAGGAGATGTTTCATTTCCCAGGATAAGTGTACTTTGCATTGAGTAAAATGTCTGAAAGTCAAGAGAAGTCAGTTGGAGGTGGATGTGAAGGTGTAGGTGGCTGTACTACAGACTCAGGACATAGACTTCCCTTATTGTCAGTTAGTGTGTCCTACTATCCTATGCATTGCCATCCTTGCAAAGTGACGCCTCCTTTCCTGGAGATGTGCGCGTGATCTGATTGCTCTTCTTTTAACGGTTGTGTGGCATTTTGGAGATAGGGTTTATAGAAGAGGCTTGTGACCGGACACGTGTGCATTTGATCCCCAGAAGCATCAAGGAATAGGCAAAGCTGGTGCACAGCACAGTCTCTGCTTGCCACTGCGCAGCGCAGGTAGTTGCCTGCTGTGGCCAGCCTGCCCTAGGAATGTTTACTGGCGTGGTTGTGCTAGTACTCCTCTCCCTGTCTGCAGCTACCTTGCAGTGCTGGCAAGAGTCTTGTGTGGACACAGTTCTATTGGCATAGAAATGCTCCTGCCAGTGTAGGCTGTTTTGTGCTCAGGATTAATAAAAAGACTCTTTTTACTTTCTCTGGTGCAACTCCTTCTGCTTCCAAGTTGCTGATGCCAGGGCAGTGGTAGAACTTTTCTAGGCCTTCAGGGCTGCCACGTTCAGGTTTTTCATTTCTTGGCTCTGTGACTGTTTCTCCTTGCTCTGATGAGGATATTTCCTCTTCTCCTTTGTCAAGTAATGTGCTGTGCTGTTCTGTCAGAAACAGCAGGGGAAAAGGAGGGCTAGGAAGGGCTTCACCACAGATGAAGGAGGATGTGTTTCTGCAGGCCATTGGCTATAGCACCAGCACTTGCAGGGTTAAACGTATGGCTAATGTTTCCCCGGCTTTTGAATTCTGCCACTTGGAGCAATTGGCAGGGTAGTGAATGAGCCCATGCCTTGAATGCTTCTACCCGGGTGCTCTCCTTTGTTGTTCTGTGCCTGAACTTCTTGTTTGGACAGCTAGCAAGATGTTTACAAGGAAACAGCTGTTCCCCAGAGAGGCAATCCAAGTAGGATTTCATGCACTCCCTTCTGTTCATTAGTCATCCATTTCCTGCTGTGGTTTGTTGCTTACAGCCCCAGTGGCTCTCCCACCCCCCTCTTTGTCCATTTTCCAAGGGGGATTGTTCGTGATGATCTAAGTTAGCCGGTGCTTACACAGAGAGATGCTCTCAGAGAGGAGGGAGATAAGGGAGGATTTGCTACTCCCAGCCTGCCAGCAGATTTACAATAGTAGATGTGGAAAAATACTGACTTCGCTGAGAACAGTTCATATGTTTGGCATATCTGCAAAGCCAACACTTCCAGAATTTTGTAGTGACATGTGAAACTCCATGTTAAATCAGGAGCTGCCCTGCACTATTAAAGGTGCATGACTGAATTTGTCTAGAAGCAAGGGTCTCTCCTCTGCTGTACGCAACCTCTCCCTCCCCCGCCTCGTTTTTTTAATATATTTTTTAAAGGCACTGTTTCTCAAACTCCCAGCTCAATGTGGAGCTGATCCATACTGGGGCTGGGGCTTTGTTCCTACATTATAGTGTTACGGAGTTTGCTATTTTTTCTTCACTTTCCTTTGTGGTCACCTCCAATATAGGTAACTCCATCTTCTCCACCATGGTGAAGATAAAATGAAAAGAATTCATCTAGTGCTGCCAAATATCTTCCTAACTGGTTGGTCAGCCTTGAGCAAGCAAACAGTTAGGTATGTGATAGTTCTGGATAAATGAGGCGGTATTCCATGTGTTAGGTGTAACAGCAAGAGATGCATGAGCTGTCAGCCTCTCTGCCTTCCCTGTTACAGTCCTCAGGAGAAGTTGGAGACACCATCTTCTGTACTGATATTGAGGACCCAATCTGAGAGGAGTTTATTTGCAGTTCCAGATATGCTGTAGGCTGAGTGGGTATCACAGAATCACAGAATCACAGAATCACAGAATAGTAGGGGTTGGAAGGGACCTCTGTGGGTCATCTAGTCCAACCCCCCCGCCGAAGCAGGGTCACCTACAGCAGGCTGCACAGGACCTTGTCCAGGCTGGTCTTGAATATCTCCAGAGAAGGAGACTCCACAACCTCCCTGGGCAGCCTGTTCCAGTGCTCCGTCACCCTCAGAGAGAAGAAGTTCCTCCTCATGTTCAGACGGAACTTCCTGTGCCTCAGTTTGTGCCCATTACCCCTTGTCCTGTCACTGGGCACCACTGAAAAGAGCTTGGCCCCATCCTCCTGACACCCACCCTTCAGATATTTGTAGGCATTTATAAGGTCCCCTCGCAGCCTTCTCTTCTTCAGGCTGAACAAGCCCAGTTCCCTCAACCTCTCCTCGTAGTGGAGATGTTCAAAAGCCCCTGGGTAGGTCTGCCATGCTCAGCTACTATGTGATTTCTCCATGGGTGATTAATTTCGTGTTCAAGACAGGTTTCTGTCTGGAGTGGACAAAAGGGAAGAAATAGAGAGGTGAGTATACCCATATCTGTATGAAGTTGCTGCAACCAGATTCTGGCAGATACTCAAGCTGCTTAAGAGAGCAATGTTACCAGCTATCTCTAAAATAGCATTCCTGTGACATTAAGGTAAGATTAAAAAAAAGAAAATTCAAAGCCTCTGATCCACTATTATTTTGCTTTAATGCTCCTGATTGCCATGGAAGTGGGATTAAAAAGATCGCGAGTCTCTCCCAGTCCCTTGTTGCCAGTGATTCTGAGGAAGTGCCAGTGCTTAATAAGATCTAGTGCTTCACTGCTTCACAAATCCCACCCCTCAAACTGTACAGGCAGGCTGAAAGATAACAGAGATGATACTTGAATGTGGAGGCAGATATTGTATCGTGTACCAGCAAGAAGTACAGTGAATGAGTGGTGAAACTAGGACAAGGACTCAGAATTACGTAGTTTTGTTCACTACATTGTGTTCCCTCCAGCACATCCTGATGTTTGAGTGGTGCAAGGGATCAGCGGATCCTATAAGGTCACATCTAGCCGTGCTATCAGAGGTGTAGAGGCTGTGCCCCCAGCCATACCTGTGGGCCAAGGATTTGGATATACATGTGAGTAACTTCTCCAAGGACCGAAGTAATGACTTGGTTGAAGAGGCTGATGTTCGCTGTGGTGCGGGAGAAGCCACGTCCTGCACTTGGCGTGTACAGCTCTGCAGCTGCTGGCTTCTCTGACGTGCAAGGGAGACGATGAATGCAGTTTCTTTCCCCTCTGAACGTGTGCAACCCCCCAAAGAGAGTAATGTGCTCAAACTGCGTTGGCGACTGGTGGAGAAAGGCGTCTGGCTATGACGAGCATTGTCCCAGCAATACCAGTGCACGTCAGAGGGAACAGGCGATAGCTTTTTTGTTTGCTTGTGTTTATTGTTTCTTAGAACAAATCAAAATGAATCGTGGAGACAGTGTGAGTGGCTCTCCTAACATTACAGCTGAAATGAGTTTTGTGTTGTGGGTCGTGCTTGGTTGAGTGGTAGGGACAGGTTCCTTGTTGGTTGAAGTGGATCCCATAAGAAGGTATGGGTGTCTGCAGGTGACAAAATTACCGTGTCTTGTAATCTGTACTACCTCTTGTTGCTTGAGCCTTGCTGTGTGACCTGAGGGTGCAAATGTTTGTCTTCACAGTTCCCTTGAAGTAGGAAGGCTAATAGTTCAGCTCGGCTGGTAAGTAGTTAGATACAAAGCTGTGGTAGCTTCATCTGCTGTGTGTTAGCCACACTATGTCAAAGATTAAGTGTGGCCTGCACATTAGTGGCCAGTTTTACGGTCCTGTGCATCATTCCCTGTTTGTCAGGCTACTGGTGGTTAAAGCAGAAAAGGCTAAATAAAATAAACTATAGGACAGAAGCAAGTACAACCTTGTGGTGGATTCCCGAAAAGGTATATGCTAATCCATTTAGTGACTATTCCTGCTATGTGGAAAGGAAAGCCAAGTCACAAGGAGGTTAGATGGCTCGCTTTCGTGGCTGAACGTGCATGAGAATGGGTAATCCAGAGTTTCTGATACCTGCTGCCGTACTGGGACCCCCAAATTATGCATCTGGTGACAGCAAGAGGCATTCAAAGATCTGATCCATTGTTGACCCACTGTCGTTAGCACTTCTTAATGAATGAAACACTAGGAAAGTTTTGCTTACTTTATCCAAGGCCATCTTGCTGTGGAAAATGTCTTCATGGCTGGGGAATTCCCACTCCATCCAGTCTGTCCCCGTTACATTAAAGTTGGGGTTTTTTTTAATTTTGTGAAAGTTGTTTCACTTACTTGAATTTTCAGGTTGCTTCTTCAGACCATTGCTTCTTCAGCTCTGGTGTATTTGTGAAACAGCTTGCAGAGAGCAGTAAGGGTTGGATAGAGGACGTCTGCTTCGTATATGAAACGGCGAAGTACACAAGGCAAGTACTATTTGTGCTAGGAGGGTTGAAAGCTGTAAAACCATTATCTTGACAATGGTGCTTTCTCCTAGAGTTCAAGGACTGCTCAGAGTCCAATTTAAAGCAGTTGTCTGAGAATGGCTTTCCAGGGTGGCTTATATGCCAAGGCTCGTAGGTACCATGGCTAAAAAGGAACATTGTGATAATCCCTTTTGACCTCCTAAATAACACAGACCATAAAATTTCATGCTGTAGTTTCTGTGCATAGGCCAGGAGCTTGTGGTTGAATGTTACCTGGAATGGATTTCAAGGCTTGAACTTGACAGGCGTTGCAGGACAAAGTAAGTTTCCTTGAATAAGTTGGGTCCAAACAGCATGAAAGTCAGCAACACGTTGTCATCGGTTCTGTGAATTTCTTAAAGTGGTTGTAATGGGGAAAAATGAGCATTGCTGTTTAGGCATCATATGTTTG